AGTAGCCATAAAGACTCAAACAGTCATGTAGACTCAAGTAGCCATAAAGACTCAAACAGTCGTGTAGACTCAAGTAGCCATAAAGACTCAAACAGTCGTGTAGACTCAAGTAGCCATAAAGACTCAAACAGTCGTGTAGACTCAAGTAGCCATAAAGACTCAAATAGCCATGTAGACTCAAGTAGCCATAAAGACTCAAACAGTCATGTAGACTCAAGTAGCCATAAAGACTCAAACAGTCGTGTAGACTCAAGTAGCCATAAAGACTCAAACAGTCATGTAGACTCAAGTAGCCATAAAGACTCAAACAGTCGTGTAGACTCAAGTAGCCATAAAGACTCAAACAGTCGTGTAGACTCAAGTAGCCATAAAGACTCAAACAGTCGTGTAGACTCAAGTAGCCATAAAGACTCAAACAGTCGTGTAGACTCAAGTAGCCATAAAGACTCAAACAGTCATGTAGACTCAAGTAGCCATAAAGACTCAAATAGTCATGTAGACTCAAGTAGCCATAAAGACTCAAATAGCCATGTAGACTCAAGTAGCCATAAAGACTCAACCAGTCATGTAGACTCAAGTAGCCATAAAGACTCAAACAGTCGTGTAGACTCAAGTAGCCATAAAGACTCAAACAGTCGTGTAGACTCAAGTAGCCATAAAGACTCAAACAGTCGTGTAGACTCAAGTAGCCATAAAGACTCAAACAGTCATGTAGACTCAAGTAGCCATAAAGACTCAAATAGTCATGTAGACTCAAGTAGCCATAAAGACTCAAATAGCCATGTAGACTCAAGTAGCCATAAAGACTCAAATAGCCATGTAGACTCAAGTAGCCATAAAGACTCAAATAGCCATGTAGACTCAAGTAGCCATAAAGACTCAAATAGTCATGTAGACTCAAGTAGCCATAAAGACTCAAATAGTCATGTAGACTCAAGTAGCCATAAAGACTCAAATAGTCATGTAGACTCAAGTAGCCATAAAGACTCAAACAGTCGTGTAGACTCAAGTAGCCATAAAGACTCAAACAGTCATGTAGACTCAAGTAGCCATAAAGACTCAAATAGTCATGTAGACTCAAGTAGCCATAAAGACTCAAATAGCCATGTAGACTCAAGTAGCCATAAAGACTCAACCAGTCATGTAGACTCAAGTAGCCATAAAGACTCAAACAGTCGTGTAGACTCAAGTAGCCATAAAGACTCAAACAGTCGTGTAGACTCAAGTAGCCATAAAGACTCAAACAGTCGTGTAGACTCAAGTAGCCATAAAGACTCAAACAGTCATGTAGACTCAAGTAGCCATAAAGACTCAAACAGTCGTGTAGACTCAAGTAGCCATAAAGACTCAAACAGTCGTGTAGACTCAAGTAGCCATAAAGACTCAAACAGTCGTGTAGACTCAAGTAGCCATAAAGACTCAAACAGTCGTGTAGACTCAAGTAGCCATAAAGACTCAAACAGTCGTGTAGACTCAAGTAGCCATAAAGACTCAAACAGTCGTGTAGACTCAAGTAGCCATAAAGACTCAAACAGTCGTGTAGACTCAAGTAGCCATAAAGACTCAAACAGTCGTGTAGACTCAAGTAGCCATAAAGACTCAAACAGTCGTGTAGACTCAAGTAGCCATAAAGACTCAAACAGTCGTGTAGACTCAAGTAGCCATAAAGACTCAAACAGTCGTGTAGACTCAAGTAGCCATAAAGACTCAAACAGTCGTGTAGACTCAAGTAGCCATAAAGACTCAAACAGTCGTGTAGACTCAAGTAGCCATAAAGACTCAAACAGTCGTGTAGACTCAAGTAGCCATAAAGACTCAAACAGTCGTGTAGACTCAAGTAGCCATAAAGACTCAAACAGTCGTGTAGACTCAAGTAGCCATAAAGACTCAAACAGTCGTGTAGACTCAAGTAGCCATAAAGACTCAAACAGTCGTGTAGACTCAAGTAGCCATAAAGACTCAAACAGTCGTGTAGACTCAAGTAGCCATAAAGACTCAAACAGTCGTGTAGACTCAAGTAGCCATAAAGACTCAAACAGTCGTGTAGACTCAAGTAGCCATAAAGACTCAAACAGTCGTGTAGACTCAAGTAGCCATAAAGACTCAAACAGTCGTGTAGACTCAAGTAGCCATAAAGACTCAAACAGTCGTGTAGACTCAAGTAGCCATAAAGACTCAAACAGTCGTGTAGACTCAAGTAGCCATAAAGACTCAAACAGTCGTGTAGACTCATGTAGCCATAAAGACTCAAACAGTCGTGTAGACTCATGTAGACATAAAGACTCAAACAGTCGTGTAGACTCAAGTAGCCATGTAGACTCAAGTAGCCATAAAGACTCAAACAGTCGTGTAGACTCATGTAGACATAAAGACTCAAACAGTCGTGTAGACTCAAGTAGCCATAAAGACTCAAACAGTCGTGTAGACTCAAGTAGCCATAAAGACTCAAACAGTCGTGTAGACTCATGTAGCCATAAAGACTCAAACAGTCGTGTAGACTCATGTAGACATGTTGACGCACACGCAACCACGTTGACCCACTCAGCCATGTTGACCCACTCAGCCATGTTGACCCACTCAGCCACGTTGACCCACGCATCCATGAAGACTCGAATACCCATGACGACTCAAAGAGCCATGAGAACTAAACAGACATGATAACTCAAATAGTCGTGTCAGCTCACTTAGCCCTTTCAACTCACTCAGCCACGTAGACTCACTTTGCAATGTTCCCTCAGACACCGAGAAAATCGTTCATATCACAGATTTAAGTCTTGAAAGACCTACCATGAACATAATGGTTCCACGCTTTCAAACAAACATCTTGTTGTTATCAAATTAATACTGTCACGCGTTCTTTTCTTATATTATTTTTCTAAAAGTTTCTTACTAAAAATCTTTAACAAATATTTTGCTTGAATTGCACATCACCTTACAACAAGACCCTTATATAACAAGATGAAATTTCTAATTTTAATATATATTTATTTCATTGAATAGATGGTCTCAAGCTTCACAAAGGTGTTTTATTTTTCTTCACGTTTTCTTTAACCTGTGAGATTAATGCAGATTTTGCATTAAGCAACTGGCATTGCTTAAGCATTTGTTTCAAAATTCCTTATAGGTCTCTAACTCTCTTTATATAGCAAAAGTTTTAAACCTTGTTAAAATAACGATTTCTCGCGGGAAAAAAACAACTTAACTGAGATTATAAAGAGTTAGATAACGACATCAATAATGTTTAAGACCACGTTGATCTGATGAAGAAAGTGGCGGTGATGGGGTGATCCACCTCGGGCAGCCCTTTATTTCCCTATAGTTGGAAATGGAGTAAATTTTAGGAGAGCAGCGTTTTTTTTCCTTTAGATGTTGTTGTTTTGTTTTTTGTTTTTGTGTAGGAAGGGTGGAAAGAATATTGGCCGCCCCAGGAGGCAATAGACCCAGCTACGTCACTGGCCTGTTGTCGAAGTTTTCCTCCAAAGTTTGAGAGACAGGATCGTTTGAAGGCAAACCATCTCCCATAAATGAGAGACATGATCGTTTGAAGGCAAACCATCTCCCATAAATGAGAGACAGGATCGTTTGAAGGCAGACCATCTCCCATAAATGAGACACAGGATCGTTTGAAGGCAGACCATCTCCCATAAATGAGAGACAGGATCGTTTGAAGGCAGACCATCTCCCATAAATGAGAGACAGGATCGTTTGAAGGCAGACCATCTCCCATAAATGAGAGACAGGATCGTTTGAAGGCAGACCATCTCCCATAAATGAGAGACATGATCGTTTGAAGGCAAACCATCTCCCATAAATTAGAGACAGGATCGTTTGAAGGCAGACCATCTCCCATAAATGAGAGACAGGATCGTTTGAAGGCAGACCATCTCCCATAAATGAGAGACAGGATCGTTTGAAGGCAGACCATCTCCCATCGGTAGGCCGATTGTTTAATGTTTAAAGCTTGCCAGGTAGGGTGTGGGAATGTTGGTAGGCCGATTGTTTAATGTTTAAAGCTTGCCAGGTAGGGTGTAGGAATGTTGGTAGGCCGATTGTTTAATGTTCAAAGCTTGCCAGGTAGGGTGTAGGAATGTTGGTAGGCCGATTGTTTAATGTTTAAAGCTTGCCAGGTAGGGTGTAGGAATGTTGGTAGGTCGATTGTTTAATGTTTAAAGCTTGCCAGGTAGGGTGTAGGAATGTTGGTAGGCCGATTGTTTAATGTTTAAAGCTTGCCAGGTAGGGTGTAGGAATGTTGGTAGGTCGATTGTTTAATGGCCGGCAAGTAGGGTTCATGACTGTCTGCATGTATATTTTTTTTGGGAGGTTAAATTTCCTAAACCCGGTGTAAAAACAACAACAACAGCACCCAGTTAAGCCATAGTATGCTGATATGAGGTGAAATGACGGCCAACGAAAGTTACACTTTACAGTGGCCACTGGCGCTATTTTTGGGGCTTGCCAATCGTGCATCTAAAATCAACTTCTCATTCATTGGCCTAGAGTCACTTTGTAGTGCTATTCCGTATGCTGTCTGTAAACAAACCGTATATATTATCCGACAAAAAAGGAGTAAATATAGTATATAACTTATTTTATTTTGAAGTGATTTGAAAGAATACAAATGAGTTATCAAAGCCTGTTTCAAGATAGAGAGATTGTCGTGAGTTCTTTGAGATAGGGCGGCGCCAGGTCATATCATGAATGGCATTATATATATATATATATATATATATACTATTTATGAAATGATATCGTTGAATACATTCAACTTGTATGATTTAGTTCTATGCAGCTCACACGGGTTTCACAGGTGCGTGTCACGTGGCCGTGCGTGGTGTTATATTTCCAAATACCACTGCAGGAAGTAAGCAGATCTAAATCAATAAACGGACGACTTGTATCGGATGTCTTTGTCCTGCGGTCACGTTCCGTGCCTGGTAAACAAAACCGTCCACGTATGAGATCGGTAGGGACCCTATATAGGGGCGCAATGCAGCGTGGTGCTCGTGCTGACGAAAGAAACACTGGTTGGAAATCTCTAGCATGCGATGCTTTTCTCATCTCTGTTATTACAACAAAACAAACAACAAATACTCAGGCTTTAATTTGGATTACATATCGCATGCGAGCTGGCATCGCCGAGCAACTGATACAGATTTTGTGTGTGCTCAAGGATTGAGTGACGCCGAGTGGGGTTGACCCAGTGAGATAGGTAACCTGGGGGGGAGAGGGTTGGGGGTTGAGGGTGAGGAGTCTGTTATCTGCGGTGATTAATTCAATTTTAATCTTTATTTTTAAAAAAATGAAAATGGGTTTCTCAAGCTACTACGTCCCCCGTACACCTCTGATATCACCCACAGGAGGTTACAACAGCAGTTTACGAGAGTGTAGTGAAGGGCCGGCAGGCAGGCTTTAATGTGGATGGAGTGCAATGTGGACGTAGCGTTTAAAACAACTCTCCAGTTTACAATAATCTTTCTTGATGCACACATTAGATATAAAAAACAAAACAAAAAAAGAAACACGCACATTTATGTCGGAAGTGTCAAGTTACCTAAAAGAACTTATTTGAGTCTGACGTTATGATTCTGGCTCCTTGAATTGGATGAGCCAAGTTTTCTGATTGAAAGAAATAGAAACCTTGGTTGGATCTTTTTGTGAAATGTAATGCGTGCTCGAGACATTTGTTTAGGTAGGTAAACAAAAATAAATAAATATATGTCTATATCCTTAAGAGGCAATTTGATTTCACGCTTGTGAAGAGTAAACTGTAGTCAAAACATATGAAGTAAATATCAATTAGAAGAAGTCGACTCCCGATATCTGTAGTAGGACTCGCCATCAGTGGCATGTGGCTCGGATTAGTAGCCCGCCCCCCATCCAGGGAAGGCCAAGGATATTTGTCGCTATTTGAGCTTCACAACTCTCTGTTGCATGCATCACTACTCACTATTACATGCTTCACTACTCTCTGTTGCATGCCTCATTACTCACTATTACATGTTTCACTACTCTCTGTTGCATGCCTCACTACTCACTATTACGTGGTTCACAACTTTCTGTTGCATGCCTCACTACTCACTATTACATGTTTCACTACTCTCTGTTGCATGCATCACTACTCACTATTACATGTTTCACTACTCTCTGTTGCATGACTCACTACTCACTACTACATGTTTGTCTACTCTCTGTTGCATGCCTCACTACTCACTACTACATGTTTCACTACTCACCATTACACGCCTCATACTTACTATTACACGCGTCAGTACGCTCTCTATATATTACAATTAATAAATCCCCAATGGTGTCTTAATGCATTATCCTTAATAAATCACTAGCTCTTGCTCAAATATCATCATTTATCAACGAATTTATCACAATTATTTGGATTAACATCTGACCACTATCCTCTTCACTAATCGCGTATACACCCTTTCTTTCTCACTATTACACGACTCACTACTCACTGTTACAAGCTTCACATCACTTTATAATGTCTCACTACTCACTATTTTAATGATTCACTATTCTTTGTTATACAACCACTACTCACTATTACATGGCCCAATACTTACTACTCACTATAACTATTCCATTACTCACTATTACACGCTTCACTAATTATTATTATATGATTCACTACTCACCATTACACACCTCACTATTACATGCCTCACTACTCACTATTATACGCTTCGATATCACTATTATATGCTTCACTACTCACTATTACACGCCTAACCAGTCACTATTACACTCCTAATTACTTACTATTACTCAACCCCTACTCACTATTACATGCCTCACTACTCACTATTATACGCCTCACTACTCACTATTACATGCCTAATTACTCACTGCTACACACCTTACTGCTCACTATTACAACTTCACTACTGACTATTATCAGCCTCACGACGTTCTATTACTCGCCTTATCACACAATATTACGCGTCTGGTTACTCACTACTACACGCCTCACAGTTCACTATTACACGCTCTACTGCACAGTAGCTCCAGGCCTTAGGACTCGACGACGATGGGAGATTGCCCTCTACCTGTCGCTGCTGTTTGGGGTCGGTCTGTTGGTGTTTGAGACCCTTCGTAAGTCAATTTACGTAACTACAGTAAAGACTTAACAACAGTTTAGTGGACTCGCCCTTTGGCTTGGTTTGGAATATAAGGTGGGGATTAGGGGGGGGGGGGTGGTATTGGGGGGGGGGGTGGTGGTGGCGTGAGTGGCAAACTCTTACTTTAATGTTATTGAGTTTAATAGAGCAATAGGGCTAACTATGTAGGAGACATATAAGCTAGCGGGACTATTTGGCTTTAAAGATTGCAAAGGCATTGTACGTGTGTCGGCTGTCAGATGAACTGTGAGATCTGTGATATATGTTATAACTGTGTTATCTGTGATAACTGTGATCTATGTGATGTCTGTGATCGATGTCATATCTGTAATATCTGTGATAACTGTGATCTATGTGATATCTGTGATTTATGTGATATCTGTAATATCTGTGATAACTGTGATATATGTGATATCTGTAATATCTGTGATAACTGTGATCTATGTGATATCTGTAATATCTGTGATAACTGTATTATCTGTGATAACCGTGATCTATGTGATATCTGTGATTTATGTGATATCTGTAATATCTGTGATAACTGTGATATCTGTGATATATCCATGTGATAGCTGTGAAAAACTGGATTTCTGGGACACATATGAGATCTGTGATACATGTGAGATCTGTGATATATGTGAGATCTGTGATACCTGTGATACATGTGAGATCTGTGATACCTGTGATACATGTGAGATTGTGATACCTGTGATCCATGTGAGATCTGTGATATCTGTGATACATGTGAGATCTGTGATATCTGAGATACCTGTGCGATCTGTGATACATGTGCGATCTGTGATTCCTGTAAGATCTGTGAGATCTGTAAGATCTGTGAGATCTGAGATATCCGTCTATTAAACCCGTGCCACTGCACATATCCGGATATGCCACCCCGTACCACTGCTCATATCCGGCTATGCCATCCCCGTGCCACTGCACATATCCGGCTATCATGGGCGCCCGCAGGTAGGGGCAGGGGGCACTTGCCTTCCCCCCTGGATTGATTGGGTAAAACATTTTTAGACAAAAATAGACACAAAATTTATTAAGGTAAAGAGAAAATAAAGAGAAAGTAACTAAGCTGATGTCCTATCCGTTCGTTCACCATACAAATACGCTACAGTAAATTAAAGCTAGACTAAAATATTACTAAAATTTGTTTGAACCCAACNNCCTTGGAAAGTTAATCGATTCCCCCCCCCCCTAGAAAGTTTTCTGCGGGCGCCAATGCCGGCTATGCCACCCCGTGCCACTGCTCATATCCGGCTATGCCACCCCGTGCGACTGCTCATATCCGGCTATGTCACCCCGTGCCACTGCACATATCCGGCTATGCCACCCCGTGCCACTGCTCTAGCTTTCGCTGCTCACGCACCTGATCAGGGCTCATCAGGACTCGGATAAGAATTATAAGTCTTCTGGATGCTCAGTTGGAGTCCACTCACCCTAATGTTTTATCAGACTGCTGCAGATATTTCCTGCACTCGTGCTACGAGTTACTTTAATTATTTTCATAATTTCCGTCCAATTTTCTAGATGCAAGAACGTGGAGTGGTCTTTATGGCGACAACAAGGCCCAGTTTGGTCGCTATGGTGACAACAAGGCCCAGTTTGGTCGCTATGGTGACAGCATGGGTCAGTTTGGTCTCCATGGTGACAGGGTGCAGAGCGATACAGTGAGAAGTTTCTTTCATTAAAATCTACTTGAAACAGCCCTTTTAAACCTAGACTCATTTCTAATCATTAAAAAAAAATTTTTTTTCTCAAATTTAAAAAAAACAACAAACAATTCAGTCTTCGCATCATATGCTAAAGCACTTCACATGGGTTCTCCTGATTTTTGTGTCAGTTTACCTCGGTATTTGAACTTTACTATTTAACGATAAAATCATTTTACAACACCTGTCTGTGGGGGTTGGGGGGGGGGAGTTCATTGAACGAGCTGATGATATCATATTTCAGGTTGAGGATGATGAGAGACAGGAGGTCGAATTAACTGAATTCCCAGGTACAAGGCCAGAAAGCATAGCTTCAAGAAAGTAAGTTTTCGTTATTCTTCTACAATTAGTTCTGTCACGCCCCTTTCTTGTCACAGTCACGCCCCTCCCTAGATAGCTTGAACTGGTTTGTCTTTTAGTGATGTTAATAATGTAACTGAATGACGTCATGCATTTCTATACGTCATGCATCTTTATAAGTCATGAATTTCTATAGTCAAGTATTTCTATAAGTCAAGTATTTCTATAAGTCAAGTATTTCTATAAGTCATCTATTTCTATAAGTCATCTATTTTTATAAATTATGTATTTCTATAAATCATGTATTTGTATAAGTTATGTATTTCTATAAGTTATGTATTTCTATAAGTCTGGTTCAAGTATTGCTTCTAATCCCCGTACTATACATCTATAAGTCAGTGGAGTAGCTGAGGTTAATGCCGCCCAGTGCAGGGAAGCTTTTTTGCCTAAGCCCATCCACGAAAATAACCTTTGAAGTTGGAGGAAAATAACAAAAGTTGGATAAAAAGTATAAAAAAAAAAAACCCAAACAAACAAATAACGCTCTATAAGATGGAAATGGGGGGAGAGAGAAAGTCTTAAAAAAATTTCCGCCCCGTGACGGGGCGCCCCTCCTTACCCCTTCTGCTACGCCCCTGCCATAACTGCTGCCATGTAGTGTCTATCAGTACTGTACAGCTTTAGTTTCACAGCCTGTGGTGACTCAGTCACGCCTGTCAGAAAATTAAGAATGAAATTCAACATTTTACACCCATACACCACATCCCACAACCGACAAACCCTGACCCACACACCACACCCTGCACACCACACCCCGCACACCACACCCAACACCCGAACCCGCACCACACACATCGCACCCCACACACCCCCATCAGCACCCCGCACCCCACACAACCCCAAAACCACACGCCACACACCACACCCCGAACACCGCATCCCGTACACCACACCCCACAAACCACACCTCACACCCCATACACCACAATCCGCACCCCACACCCCACACACCACACACGCCACACACCACACCAACAACCCGCACATCCCACCCCACACACCAAACTCCGCACACCACACACCACACACAACAACCCGCACACCATACCCCGCATCCCACAAACCCCGACCCACACCCCACACACCAAACCCCGAACACCACACCCCGCACACCACACCCCACAACTCGCACACCACACCCCCCACCCCACACCCCCCAAACCCCGCACACCGCACCCCCCACCCCCCACCCCCCACACCCCACCCCCCTCCCACAACTCGCACACCACACCTCACACCCCACACCCCACAAACCCCGCACACCGCACCCCGCACTCCATACCCCGAACACCACACCCCGCACACCACACCCCACAACTCGCACACCGCACCTCACACTCCACAAACCCCGCACACCGCACCCCGCACTCCATACCCCGCACCTCACACCCCCGCACCACTCCATGACCACATCATTGACATCTGCGCAGATCTCGCGTGATATGCCTTTGCAGCCTATGGTCAAAGATCGCCTTCCGGCCGTTGGTCTCGCACTGGAGGGTCTCGAGAAAACACCAGTTTCTCTACTGTCCCGTGGAGAAGACCGCATCTACGTTCTGGAGGAGATTCCTCCATCAGCTGGAGTACACGAGCCCAATGAGGTAACTTCGTCAAGCTATGAATAGAACAATGACGCTATGGGGGAAGTTAGGTCAAATTATAAATAGACCAATGACTCCATGCTGTCATTAGGTCAAACTATTAATAGAACAATGACCCCGTGAGCTAATTAAGTCAAAAAAGTTGATAGGCCAATGACTCAATGAGATTAATAGATACAAATAATGAGTAGATTATTTACTCTTAGGATGATTAGCTGAAACTATTAACAGGCCAAAGACTCGGTCATTTAACTTACGTCAAACTATTAATAGAATAGTTAACTAATAAGGGCCGCAAGGGATGCTTGTGTTTAAGACGTATGCGTCAGGGCGTAAGATGGAGCAGTTACACCAAGTGGCGCTGCAAGAGTTTGTGAAGCCGGGGGGGGGGGGGGGGGAGGGATGCCGAATTTTGCCGAACCTGATTAACGAAAAAAAAACAATACATACAGGATGCACATGCAACACAAGCAGTGTTGAGTACTTGACGTTAGCATACAGGATGCACATGCAACACAAGCAGTGTTGAGTATTTGACCGACGATGCCGCACCAAAATAATTGCAGCTCGTTGCCTAATGGCTAACGTCCCGACCCCACCCCCACCCCAACCCCTAACCCACTCTTCCTAAGCCCGTGGTTTCTTGATGCTTAAACAATTTCACAACTGGGTCAGAGCTCCCTAGAAGGATTCACAACGAATGAGATGATAGATGCATTTATAGCGATAGCCCATAAAACAGTGCAAAAGAAAGAATGAAAATATTGCCTGGCACCATTCTGGTACCAGTTTTCTTCAGTATCCCATTCACAAACACCTGTCTGCGCAAACAAACAAACAAATGTCACACCTACGCATTCCATATGGCTACCCTTCAAAGAAACAGTTGGTAACTAGATATTGTATGTAATGTCCCGGGCGGTCCTTGATTTCGCCTCCGCATTGGGGCAAAACCACCATACATACACCATATTCATATGAAGTGCTGTAAATTAAGTGAAGTAAACAGAAAATGCCGCCCAAAAGTAGGTAGCGCCAGGGGCGGGCATCTCCTCCGCACGCCCCCCCCCCCCCACACCCTTGCATAGACGTACACAAACAGTTAAAAATCAATGCATTGGTTATTTGAGACTATTTAGATCTTTCTTTGATCCACTTATGATTCTTCCAATCTCATGGTGACAACATCTTTCTTCGATCCCCTTATGATTCTTCCAATCTCATGGTGACAAAATCTCTCTTCGATCCACTTCTGATTCTTCCAATCTCATGGAGACAAAATCTTTCTTTAATCCACTTCTGATTCATCCAATCTCATGGCGACACAATCTTTCTTTGATCCACTTCTGATTCTTCCAATCTCATGGTGACACAATCTTTCTTTGATCCACTTATAAATCTTCCAATCTCAAACTTTTCTCCACTGACGAACGTGGCTATTTAAATAAATATATTCATTGTTAAATTATCCAATAGGATTGCTCAAATATGCCTTTAGGCGTTCTGGCTATTTTCAAAACCCTGTTTATTTAGCTTGTCATGTTAGATGTTTGTTAGCTGTATACTGTTGGTAGTTGTTTAAAAACCATGTGTTCTACGTGTGGGAGTGCTAGCTAATAGCTAATAGCTTACCTTGTTTTAAGCTAACAAATGATCACTTTTTTATTTTTGTAATGTCTTATTATAAAATTGAAAACAAAAAAAATAATTTTTATAAAGAAATTAAAGTAAGTTTAGAGTGGTGTATAGTTAGTTTAGAATGAATGTAGAGTTGGGGTAGAGTGGTGTATAGTGATAGTAGAGTGAGTGTAGAGTGAGGGTAGGGTGGTGTATAGTGAGTGTAGAGTAAGTGTAGAGTAAGTGTAGAGTAAGAGTAGGGTAAGTGTAGATGTGTATGGCTTGAAACGTTTCTCGTAGCCAGCATTAATGGTCACTCCAAAATGAAGATTTTTTTACATATTATTGTTTTATGTCCTAAGTCATTTAATATCCTACGTTATTTAGGGGCATACACTATTTCCTACTACAAAATGCTCAGATAGATGCATCATGTTCTATAGGTTGCTATTTATAAACAAATCCCCTAATCTATGTTGTGCCACTAGTTAAAGACTTTCGTTTAACGTGATTCGCTGTTATTTATACACAAAACTCTGAATGTGTGATGGACTACTGTGATTAAGTTTCTCTCTTAATGTGATTGACAGCTTTTTATAGACAAAACTCATAACATGAAAGTATTCACTAATTATAGACTTTCCCCTTAATGTGACCGGATGATTACGTTTAGGCCATCTTACTCAATGTATTTTCCAGGTCACCGTTCGACGTGGACGTTAAGAGCCTGTACGCTTCGAGAGATAAGAACCTGGAGGTGACAGAGTCAGGCGAGGATCTCGCGGCGCTGTGGTCCAACACCACAAAACTCTTGTTCGTGCGCGACCCCTACTCCAGACTCTACTCGGCCTACGTGGACAAACTTCTGTCCCCCAACCCCACCTATTGGAACAATTGGGGCAAAACGGCGATTCTCAAATACAGAAACACCACCGCCGAAGCCGTGAGAGGGGACTCGTGCGGGGACGACGTGACATTCCCGGAGTTCATCCGGTACGCGGTGAGTCAGGACGGTCAAAGCGACACGCACGTCATGTCTATATATAGACTGTGCACGCCTTGCAAGGTCAACTACACCGTCATCGGCAAGATGGAGACGTTCTCGAGGGACACCAGGCACCTCTTGTCCGTCCTGCGCATCAACGAAAGCCAGCTGGGCTTGGAGAGGATGGCCGACGACGTCACCCGGGACGCGGTGGTCGATTCGGTCAAGGACGCGATGAGCCGACCGTGGCTGGACGAGACCTTGCGGTGCATCACGAGAGCGGATGTCGTCCGGCGGATTTGGCGGAAGCTGCAGATTCGAGGCTTCGTCAGCTGGCGATTCAACTACGGTATCGATCCCCAAACGGTGACCGCGATGGACGGGGCGTCCCTCGTGGAGGTTCTCAAGCAGGCCGTCAGAGCGTCCACGAACAGAACCGAGCTGGGCATTCAAAAGAGGCAAGCGATGGTGGAGGCGTTCAGCCGAGTAACCCCGTCCCAGATTGCTGCCATCAAGAGAACATTCTTTCTGGACTTCCAAATGTTTGACTACGACAGCAGCCCGCCAAGTCTGGCCAACAGTCGAACGGGCGTGGCTGCCATGACGGACGCTTTTGATTGGAGGAAAGACTGGGATTTGTCACCCGCGTTATAGCCCAGACCCCTGTTAGCGATGACTTTAATAAATTGTTAGATGTCGGACAATTTTTGTGTTTATATTGCTGTTCAGATTTCATATAAAAGAGACATATCTGCTTTAACCTGTTCTCGCGTATCATGCCATTCTGTATGTTACTACCCTGTATCTTACTATCATATATCTTACTATCATGTATCTTACTATCCTGCATCCAATTATACTGTACTTAACTATCTTGTATTAAACTATTCTGTATCCTACTATCATGTTTCCTACTATCCTGTATCTTTTGATCATGTATCTTACTATCTGCTGAGACCCGCTGGTGAGGCCCGCTGGGCCTTTCACTAATAACAATGACTCAATGAACAATGGAAATTAACCTGGTCACCTTGACCCAGCTTAAACAATGAGCGTCTGGTCAGAGCGTCAGACGCGACGCTTGAATGCGGGACAGGACTCCAAACTTAGAGTGTATATTAAAGGCCCACATCATTTATCGCCCTCTTTCACCGGAAGTTTATAAGTCAGCAGAGCCTGGCTATTTATTGTATTGGGATAAAGTTTGTTTATCAAAAAATTAACTAGGTTCGTGTTGCTGGATTTCATATGTTGCAGTTTTATTAAGCAATGTTAGGATTATAGTTACTGTTAGATTATGCTTGATTATTAATAATGTGTTGTGATTTAAATTCTTAGTTATGTCTTATGACTTGTATTCGTTATTCTCACTTCTAGCCAGTAACAGTTGAGTTAGTAGCAGTTAGCTTGAGATTAGTACAATTAAGTACAGTTGACTTTAGTCTCAGTATAGTGAGCTCATTTAAAGTCAGTACAGTTGAGTTCAGTACAGTAGAACTTAGTACAGTCGGTATCGTATACCGTAGTGTATAGACCACTCAGTGCGGTGGAGTCAGTTAGTGGAGTCGGTCATTTAGGGTCAGACACATAAAAAAAGAACCAAGTGTCGGTTAGGCTTACTAGTACTAGAGTAGCAGAGACGGCGCAGTGACCAGCGACCAACGAGAGGGCTCTGTGTGTGTGTGTGCCAACCGTTAAAGTGTTAGAGTCTACACCTACCAGGTCGCAGTACGCGTGACCTGTTACGCCGCAGTGCGAGTAACCAGAGGCCTGTTACGTCGCAGTGAGCAGTGACCAGAGAGAGAGAGAGATAGAGAGAGAGGCCAAACCAACCAGGCTGCTGCGTGTATGAGTTGTGGACTTTACCTGCCTATAGAGCAGAGGTTCCCAAAATTTGAAGTTTGGCGGACCGGTGAACAAGTTTCGAAATTTTACCAGGGACCGGTGTATATTTTATTTCTATACTTTTATTTCTATTTAACAATAACTATATATGTTATGGGGACCGGCAGCGTTAGGCATGCGGACCGGTGAAGGTCCACCGACCGCCATTTGGGGACCACTGCTTTAGAGGACAGACCGCCAATCGCAACTTAGTCAATCCAAAAATTTATTACTAAGTATTAGACAGTAATAAGTAGTCATTGCTTTTTATGTGTATGTGTGTCGTTAATTCTTTTTGATAATTAAATATTTATTTGTGGGCTGAACCTCCTGTGTTGCTTAGTATAGTGATGGCATTAATAGAAGTGAGTGAGTGAGAGTGTTGTTGAAGGTTGGAGTGAGTGTGGAGTGAGATTAGTTTAGAGTACGTAAATTAGGAAAGATCATCCTACCCTAGACAAAGCCCTGGTGGCATTACTAATCTAACGTATATCATCCTACCCTAGACAAAGCCCTGGTGGCAGTACTAATCTAACGTATATCATCCTACCCTAGACAAAGCCCTGGGGGCAGTACTGATCTAACGTATATCATCCTACCCTAGACAAAGCCCTGGGGGCAGTACTGATCTAACGTATATCATCCTACCCTAGACAAAGCCCTGGGGGCAGTACTGATCTAACGTATATCATCCTACCCTAGACAAAGCCCTGGGGGCAGTACTGATCTAACCTAAAGTAAAACAGGGGACCTATATAAATATAAACACACTTTAAAACAACCCCAAAGTAACATTAACACTATCCGTATCTTACTATCCTGTATCCAACTATCCTGTTCACTAGTATCCTGCATCGCATCATTCTGTACCTTACTATCCCGTAGCTTACTATCGTGTAGCTTACTATGGTGTAGCTTACTATCGTGTAGCTTACTATCCTATAGCTTACTATCCTGTAGCTTAATCTCCGCTCCCTTAGTCTCCGATATCTTACTGTTCTGTATCTTGCTATCCTGTATCCTACTATCCCGTGTATGACTGTCATTTTTAAAAAAAAAATCCTTGGCCTTGATCCAACTACGGGTGTGCTATGTCACACCTTCTTATTTGAATGCATGCGTTTGTGATGGCATGTCTATCAGTGCAGACATTGATTAGCGGTATAGCAGAATGGATTAGTGCACTCTTCCCCCTATTCATATCAAAAGTACGCGACCATTGCCCCGCCTACATGACACCCCTACGTGACACGCCTAGGACTAGGAGCTTTCTACTACAGACTCGCAGTTGGTTGCTTGCCCCGCCAGTGTTTACCACGCGTCACACCCCAATGCACATAGTACCATGAGAAAAGTTTCCATCGACCACAACATACAAAGAAGAAAATTCGACCTAAAAAACCGGAGGGGACAAAACAGGATAAACATGAACTGTGGGTGAAGTATTTTTTTTTTTTAAATAAAATTTGTATCTATCCCTAAAAGCTAATCAACACTCAAGAATAAAGTTGAAGATTGTGTGAAGTGTTTTTTTTTTTTAAATATTTTTAAAAAATATTTCTCTCAAAGCGATTCAATGATAAAATGAAACCGGGTGTGAAGTGTTGTTTTTTTAAAATCTATATTTCAAAGTTGTTCAAGAATCAAGGATACAATTTGATTCATTTAATTAAAAATCAACATTTTTTTCAAGGCTATGTTTATTCACGTTTCATTTGAAAAAAAAAAAACAACATTAATTTTTTTTTTTTTAAATTTACCCTTCTTTTTNCCGCCAGTGTTTACCACGCGTCACACCCCAATGCACATAGTACCATGAGAAAAGTTTCCATCGACCACAACATACAAAGAAGAAAATTCGACCTAAAAAACCGGAGGGGACAAAACAGGATAAACATGAACTGTGGGTGAAGTATTTTTTTTTTTTAAATAAAATTTGTATCTATCCCTAAAAGCTAATCAACACTCAAGAATAAAGTTGAAGATTGTGTGAAGTGTTTTTTTTTTTTAAATATTTTTAAAAAATATTTCTCTCAAAGCGATTCAATGATAAAATGAAACCGGGTGTGAAGTGTTGTTTTTTTAAAATCTATATTTCAAAGTTGTTCAAGAATCAAGTATACAATTTGATTCATTTAATTAAAAATCAATATTTTTTTCAAGGCTATGTTTATTCACGTTTCATTTGAAAAAAAAAAAACAACATTAATTTTTTTTTTTTTAAATTGACCCCTCTCTTTAAAAAAATAAATAAAAATCTCAAACATTAAGTACTCTGAACAGGTCATTTCAATACTTAGCTACGGCTACTAATGTCTAAGATGGATATAAGAGCATCTTTTAAGGCATTCAATTTTATGTTTAAGAAAAAGACTACTTACCTTTTTATAGTTATAAGAATTGATTTAAAATTTAACAGAAGCATTTAATTCATTAAAAATTCAAAAATATCTTATTATTGTGTTTTCCCTTATAAATAATAGATTTTTCCTTTTTTTTTTGGTTCATGTTTTTTTAACATACCCTGAAATAAAATTATGCAAAATAGAGCGTCTTGATGCTATGTCAATGTTTTGTTGTATATTGTGTTGGCGTCTTGATGCTATGTCAATGTTTTGTTGTATATTGTGTTGGCGTCTTGATGCTATGTCAATGTTTTGTTGTATATTGTGTTGTGCATTGCATTGGGAATGTCTCCTGAACATTCGGAAGTAATATCTTTTAAAATAAAAAAAAGTTGTGGACAAAATGAGACAGAAATGTTGACATTTGGACTTAAGTTTTTGTCGTTAAGTACAAAGATAAATTTGGTGGGAGGGGGGGGGGGTCCAAATTTCATCCAAAAATAGAATTTCAAAAATAATTAAATAATCATAATTCCATTTCTATACGCAATATAAAAATAACATTGGTGTTTTTGCTTGCCTTTTAAAAGGTGTTGCAAGACAATATTTACTATGTCTTTTAAAGTAGGCTTACCCCCACTGCCGCCAATAGTTGGGTTTCATAGTCATACCACTTGTATGCGATCACAATAGTAAGGTGTCATAGTCATACCACTAGTGTACGATTACAATAGTTAGGTGTCATAGTCATACCACTTGTGTACGATCACAATAGTTAGGTGTCATAGTCATACCACTTGTGTACGGTTGCAACAGTAAGGTTTCATAGTCATACCACTTGTGTACGATCACAATAGTTAAGTTTCATAGTCATACCACTTGTGTACGATCACAATAGTTAAGTTTCATACTCATACCACTTGTGTATGAGCACAATAGTTAGGTTTCATAGTAATACCACTTGTGTACGAGCACAATAGTTAGGTTTCATAGTCATACCACTTGTGTATGAGCACAATAGTTAGGTTTCATAATAATACCACTTGTGTACGAGCACAATAGTTAGGTTTCATAGTCATAAAACTGGTGTAAGATTACAATAGTTTGGTTTCATAGTAATACCACTTCGGTAAGATCACAATAGTTAGGTTTCATAGAGATACCGCTGCTGTAAGATCACAATAGTAAGGTTTCATAGTCATACCACTTGTGTAAGATCACAATATTGGGGTTGCATAGCAGCAAAGCAAGCCACGGAACTAACTCCGTCGACTGTCCTACGAGACACACAACGAAGGATCCCAAACATGTTGAAATCACCCCTAAATCCCACGGGCACCACATTGCACCTGCACGTGAAGTCCCTGCGTATTTCATATTTTGCTCCGCTCTTTCTGGATAATTATTTTTAAAAAATTTGTTCCAGTGATCAGGGAAGAGAGTAATAATTTAAAAAATTAATACTAATCTCTGTGCTACCGCTGCTTGCATGACCTGGCACCGTCCTATCTCAAAGCGCTCATGACGCTCATGACGCCTTATGTACCCAGTAGACAACTCCGCTCACCTGTGGCAAAGTCTCGACACCACGTGTTCGCCTTGAGACTTACGGAAGGCGCGCTTTTGGATTTGCTGGCCCAACGAGTTGGAACATCCTTCTGTCGCACTCAGAAACAGCCAGACACTGGAGTCCTTCAAAACCGATTTGAAAACACATCTATTTCGCAAACACCTGCTGAGGTGATGTTGTCGACCATCTTTTCCAGCTAGCTATTATCTCCTAGATGTACATGGGCCTGTGTTGTTCATGGTTGCAAGAGATGAAAGACTTTTGGGTTTGCTCATCTGTAGTTTTTGTAGTGTTACGTTTTGTATTTCGATGTGGTAAAATATAGATTTTTTCATTTCTCTTTTAATATGGTTGACTATGTACGGCGCTTCGAGCCTTTGGGGATGAATCGTGATTTTCAAACGCTTGTCACTGCTATTGTAGTGTTTCGAAGTGAAACTTAACTTTGGCCTCACTACTCCCGCTTCAACGCCTGTCACTGCTATTGTAGTGTTTCGAAGTGATTTTTTGTTTTACTATAATATAGTATAGTGCGTTCAAAAAGAAATTTGACGAAAATTTGATCGTGTGAACTGAAGAAAAGATTTGACCAAATAGCCGTTCGATCAAATTTCTGTCGATCAATTTTCCGTCGACGAAATTTCTTTCAAACAAATTTCCGATAACCCTTGCGTTCAGGAAATGTGCGTTTATAAACAGCTGCGCTAAGATATAAATATTTCCCACTTTCGTATCGACATAGGAAGGTGGCACATTCACGAAACTCGATTATATTAAACGAATTTATGGCTAGATGAGTATCATGGGGTTGGGAAGGGATTTTGGTCGGGGTGTGCCCAATCTTCCCAATCTTTAGGGCCCATACATTTGCAAAAATTCTGCAGTGTTCGCCATTCTGTCTTAACTTCCCAAGTAACCTCCATCAGAAGGAACTGACGCCAGAGCCGTTCTTAGGAGTTTGGGGGCCCTAAGCATGGAGCGTAGGTTGGGGCCCCCTGAAGCGGGAGTCCGGGGGTGGAGCTCCCTCGAGCTGAGGAGAAAACACCACCCACCACTGCGGCACCTCCATTCTGCCTTCATCAATGTTTCCTCTTTGCTCGCGTGTAACCACTAACCATATTGATAATTCCGCCACTAGAGGAAATGTGTACTTCTGAAAATATGGACATGCAGGTGGAAGTGGGGACCTATGCGGTTGCCTAGTTTGCCTATATGCCTAAGAATGGCTCTGGTGCCACTTATTTCCTCCGAATTCAACTCAGAATGATACATTTCAACGTGAGTGACACAGACAGCTGTAGTGCCAGTTAAAAAAAAGGGGGGGGGGATCGAGGGCGCATCACGGGGGGGGGGCCCTCACGTTTGGGGCCCTACGCGGATGCGTAGTCAGCGTATGCCTAAGAACGG